GTTTCCACAAACCTCTTATGCCATTCATTCAGTAAAAAACATAAACTCTTATTACCTCTGGACTCACGCACTGACCCATGTGAGGGACACACCGCAGATTTCATATCAACAAGTTCTGTGCTCTCCTATACAATAACATTTGAGATAGGACAAGATCACAACAAGCAACATGCACATTAAGGCCTGAGAAATGATGGGACGTCAGCGCTAATAGTTTAGTCTAAAAAGACCACAGAGTGTAGCGGAGGTACTTAAGGATAACCTATCCGTACAACAAGTTTACAAATATTTCTCTGCGTGGGCCTGAAATAGCACTTTTTCCTGTAACTGTTTGTCCTGTTCATCCAGGAAATTTGGAAAAACTGCAGGTACAAACATATTTTTGTGTACTTTGTCCTGTGCTTTTCGTAAAGGAATCTTTGAATCATTAAAGTACATTTAAATAAATAAAATAGCGCACACACATCACTGTACTGGTATTGTCTTTCCAAAGGTTATTGGCTTTCTATTATAGCCTATAGAACAGACTATTATTATAAATAAATAGCATTTGTGTAGGGCCTTTCAGGACCAAAGGATCCTTAACTCATATGGTAGCAGACAAAATCAAATAACACAACAACAGAATTTTTTTTAGTAATGTTTACAGGGGATAACAGATCTGACTAAGTCCAAAGGGCATAGGATTCTTCGTACACGGGTAGGAGCATGTTGTTTGTTTGCGCTCTATTTTTGGATTCTTCCATGTTTGTGATAGATTCTTATTTTGGATTTAGCCCTGAAGGACAAAGGTGTGTCAGACAGTATAGATGAGATAAGATATACTTTATTGATCCCAATTTGGGACATTTTGGAAGATAAAGCTGTGTGCACTTTTGCCAGCAACAAATATGTACCATCCTTGAAAAACACAATTTCTTGAGTTTTGACAATTTTAAGTCTTTTAAAAGTATGTGCTTTTTTTATAAATGTTTACATGGACTGGCCCCCCCTCCCTTAGGGGAATCCATCCACATAAAACACACTGGACGCTGCACTAGGTCAGAAACCAGAGGAGACTGTGAGGTCCACCGCAGACGGACCACTTTTGGACAAAATGTCCTCTCCGTTAAAGGCAGCTCATCGTGGAATAGCCTCCCAACTGAGATACGGGATTGTCCCACTCTCAATAGCTTTAAAGGTCAACTCAAAGAATGGTTGAGAAACAAACAGACGTGCAATCACTGCTAAATGCACTTTAACACAGGGGTATCTCCTCTTGCACAGCTCTTGTATCTTCTCTTGCACTTTATATGTCGTAGCTGCTATATTGTCCTGCCATGTGGTAAATACTTGTGTGTGCTGCTCTTGCTCTTTTGCACTTTTTGCATATCATGTATTTGTTTTTGCTATGTGTATAATTGTCATGTTCTTAAATGTTTTATGTGAGGGACTGCGGATGGAAATGAGCTCCAAGCTAAAATCCGGCATATTTAAACTATTTGCATTTTTATATTTTAAGTGTTCATTAATGTGCATTGTCCCAGCTAAATAAACGATTAAATGAAAAAAAATGAAATGAAATATAGCAGCCCAATAATATGTTGTAGTTGTGCAATAGCCTACAGGTTTGTATCAGTGGAAGGATAGATATACTAATAATAATAATAGATGGGATGTCTGTGTTAAAAGTGCCCTACCATTAAATAAAAAGATGAGCTAATGTCACCTGGAGGTTTTTACCACCTTTTGGATTCATCCTGGGTCCATGGCAACATATCAATTAATGTGTCTGAGTGTGTGTGTACTTGTGTGTGTGTCCACCTGTTAGTTAACCTGTTGTTAAGTATGAATGCATGCTAACCCTTTTTTAAATGGTGTACTATGCAGCCTGTGTATCCTTGACACAGGGCAGGAATGTAAGCCATCACACAACCACCAGTAAACACATTGTTTCCGCCCCAAACGTCTGGAAAGACAGTCGATGATTTATCCAGATTTCAAACAAACATTAAGGACCCATAAACAAAATGTTTGGTCTGTTTTAGCCGAAAGCGATGGGTCACATCCACACGTGTCTTTTGCAATAGTGTCTGTGTGGATGCAACAACAGATGGTGTGGTTTCCGGAAAGATTGTAGGGTTTTGGATAGTAAGAGAATATATGTATTGGTCCGATTGGAGGGAATAAGCAGTGGTTTAAGTTGATGTGGTTGTTTACTGCATGCCTCTCATTGTGACAGAAAATAGGATCTTTCCGTCTCTGAGGTTCCAATGAGGCTACAGACTATAAAACAGATCAGTGGATTTCTTTAAACAACACCTTCTCATTTCATTACATTTCCATTTGTAATGTTTTACTCTCTAAACCTGGAGCCCTTAGAAGCAAAACATTCTTTGTTGACCTTTATCATCCAGCTGAAGCTCTCGTAGCTCCTGATTTCTTTATCTAATGATCATCTCTATATTTGGCTATGCCATTTAGAAGGTTTTACATAGACCATTACAAACAGATTTGAAAGTGCAGACAAAAAAGGAGGCAAATGATTTGTTGGTAAATGTCAGTGCAGCTGAGTAAAGAAAGACATGTATCAGCATTGATGACTATATGTCTTATCACATTTGACTAACTATTCATTTCTTATGTAAACTATGGACTTTTCCTGGTCCATAAGGATAGCTAAGTATTTTTGTGATTTAACGTATTGCAAAACAATCATATGACAGATAAAACTAATGTTTGTCATTCTACTGTAAATGACAAAAATGTCTTTCTTTTAAAAATGTGTCAAGGAATCACTTTAAGACTTCATTTTGAAAAGTATCATAGAAGATCCCTTCTGATTTAGCTGGCAAACAGGAATAACAGCATTTATTGTCATCTGTAGCCAAGATAAATCTCTAAGTAAAACAATCTTGATATTTTTTCTCGAGCCCTGCTCTCTGTCTGTCTCTGGCTCTCCTTGCATTGGTGAAAGGCCACTAAAGACATCAAGTGAGAAGAAAAGCTGCAGAGCGGAAAGAAAGACAGGAGGTGCTTGTCATAGGACGAGTAAACACGTCTGGCAAGAGAAAAGAGAGGTGACAGCAGAGAGAGAAACGAGAGGTGACGACAGAGAGAGAAAAGGAGAGACAGCAGAGAGAGAAAAGGAGAGACATGTATGTATCTGGACATCTGATTAAAATGTATATAAAGCTAATTAAAAGTAGTAAGACTGGATGAAATGTTCACAAATTACTATTACTAATTTTAACAATACCCACCATAGATAATTATAATTAAGCCTTTACTGTTAACACTTTTAATGAAAATGCTTCTTTTCATATTTGACACCATCACAGAGACTATACCTATATGTAGGAACTGATTACAGAACAGATCCATCCACTTTGAAGATGAAATAAAGGTTTTATGTTGAGACAAACACACACACACACTCACATTCTGCACCTGGAGATGTTACTATGTTTATAAATTAGGGGGGTTGGCAGATCATTTTAAATAACGGGGGGGGGGGGGATTGAAAGGAGCAGTGTGCATGACGCCAATAGGTAGTAAAATTCCCCTTCAATCTGCCAAGACCAATATGCTGCAGCCCTGTCTGCTGCATTCCTCCTCTGCACAGCTCAGCTCACACACACACACTGCCATTTAAGGAGACCCAAGGTGCTGACAGACTGAGAAAGGAGAGACAGATAAAACCGGACAGCGCTTCTGATTTTTTACATGACAAAGTGAGCACTTGATCACCTTTGTTATTTGTGTATCATTGAGTCTCTATGGGATATCTGTGAAGCTCTGATGTCACTGTCGCAATACATTATACTGATGTAATAGGTGGACAGTTCAAACTACTATGAATAACTTTGTTGGACGAAATCTGAGATGTCCTGTCTGCATTCCTGTGTAATCATTGTGGAGAAATGATTAATTACATGACATCATAATAGGTACTGAGATTAGTCAATCATTGTGTATTACTCAGCCTTGGCCGAAGTGAAGTGAGTAAAGATGTGATGCACACTGACAGTGTGTGAGGCAGCTGGGCTAACAGGATGTGATGCATGCTTCCCTCTGTTGGACAACTAGGACAACTACTACTGCATGATCAGTGGCTCACTGCACAAACTTCATTTAAAAATAAGAAAACATGCTTTTTTATTGAGTTAATATATTTCATTTTGTATTACAGAATTCTGTACTACAGTCTTTTATAAGTGCTGACAAAAATATATACTGTATGTAGTTATACTTCCAAAGTTTAAAAACAAAATAGAGCATTTTTCATATAAAACAAATGATCTCATAAGTGAATTTTTCTTTACTTTCAAGCGACATTTCACTGTGTTACATATTATATTGTATGTTCATTTATTTGTATTTAAACATACATTTGTTTGTGCTTTCTCAAAAACAGATAGATGTTAATGTTTCGTACAAAATAAATGTGAGAAATGTGCAATTTGCTGAAAGCAGGTCAAAATACTGAATTTATTTGGGGTGACAGTGTTTTTGTTTAATTTTGTGTCATGACTTGTGCTGACTTGTATATATAGAGAGTGGTTAGGTAGATCTATATGTAAGATGTGAGGTAAAGGTAAGTCTTAGAGTCAGAATGTTGCATATGTTTGACAGGGCGTTATATACATTCAAATCAGTGTGCTTGTATTTGCAGTTAATATGTTAAGATCTAGTTAAAACATTTTGATGGATATCGCTATCTTGTGACTACAGGAATATCTGTATTAGCTTTGTTTGACCACTTGATGGCACTCTTTTTACAAATACCAGTGAATTGAGACTGAGCTGAGCTGTTGGATCACTCAAGCTGCTGGTACGAAAGTGAGGAGATATTTAACAGACATTTAACAAAGTATGTGAGTTTAGAAAGGAAAACCGAAGCACCAAATCCCATTATCAGTGTGTTTCTTTGTTGTAATGACTGTTTTAATATCTGCGTTTCTTTAACTCTATCCACACATGCCTCAGTTTATATAATTGTTTGAGTGTGATGAGCTTACCTTCCTCCCAGAGAACAGCATGCACAGCTGATGCATGGAGCCTCCACTCTTGGTCAGCTCCTTCTTCAGGGTTTTGGGTGAGGGGAGTGTCCAGCCGCCCTTGTGGTGCGCCCCCCCGGCCTCCAGGCAGTTGATGGCGTTGTCGGAGGTGAAACAAGGCGTGCGGGGGTCCTGCAGGAGGCTGCCCTCGCTGTGGGTGCGCCTGCGGAGGGAGTTCTGCACGCTGAGCCGCCCCCCCCCATGCTTCTCACAGGTGGCACCCTCCACCATGCTGCGGCGCTTGCTGTCGCTACGCTGCAGGTAGGCATCGTCACTGTCGTCTTCATCGTCCTCTTCCTCGGACTCCTCGTCGTCGTCGTCTTCTTCGTCGTACTCTTCTTCATCGGTGTTGGGTGAGGAGAGGGCGTCGGCACTGAAGGAGCGGTCGAGGCGCAGCTCGGGGATGACAAATGAGGAGGATGAGGAGGAAGGGGGGGCGTTGGTTTCTAGTGGCTCAGAGGCGTTTTCTTCATCAGTGTTGGACACCACCAGGTTTAGGTTGACCTCCTCTTCATTCCTCTCTCCCTCATCCTCTCCTTCCCCCTCTTCTTCCACTTTCTCTCCGCCCTCACTGCCGACACTCTTTTTGCTGGCCCAATCATCTTCATCTTCCTCCCTACTGCTCTCCAACGTACTCACCTCCCTCCAGATCTCCATCTCATTGCCCTCCATGCTCCTCCAGTCCTCACCCTCGGTGGATGGAGGTGGTGTGGGAGGCACCTTGTGTCTATCCCCAGACCCCATGAGTCCCCCAAGAGGCATGTAGACCTCATCCAGAGGGGTGAGAGGCTCTGAGGTGTGAGGGCTGCCCAGGGTTGGGGGCTCTGAGGGACTGGAGGGGTACAGGCTGCTTTCCTCACCCTCTGAGCTGCGGGGGGGCATGTGCAGGCACACACCACCGTGATCTCCTCCGACTCCGCCCAGCTCACAGGAAGGGGCATCATCCTTAGGCTCCAACATCTAGAAAGAGAAAAAAACAGAAGGGGGGAAATGTTAATCCAAGCTGTTTTAAAATTGGTTTAACTCAAAGCATGACTGCGATATACCATAAGCAAAATGCACTCATTCCAAATAATAGCAGACATTGAATTTAGTTTTTTCGTAAAGCCAGGATCAAACTAGATGACATAGAGTATGTTTTTCTGTTGAGAACGTCACATTGTCAGTTTCAACAGGAGGTGCTGGAATATCTACAACCATGGCATCACGTAGATTCAAGACTCAAGATTCAAAGGTGTTCTTGTCATATGCACATAAGCTCCAGTGTAGGAATGGCAATGAAATTCTTCTGACCCGAGCTCCTCCAACAATGCAACATATACTAAAATACAAATAAAAAAAGTGGAAGAAGTCTATATAAATAGAATATGATATGTGCAAGAACAGAATATGAAATTAAATAATGTACATTAAGACAAAATTAAATACGGTTTATTGCGGTGATAACTATTTATATAAATAAGTAGATTGCAAGATGACAAACAGATGAATGTTTATCGGGGCACTTAACAGAGCTCAGGTGTTTAGCAGTCTTATTGCCTGTGGGATAAAGGCTGTGGCAGATTTGTATGGTGCCAAACTAGGCAAAAACAGTATGAGGACTTTAAATGCTGTTTTTGTATACAAAACAGGAATAATGCTGTCAGACAACATTGTGATATCAGTGCCAGTTAGTTGACATTGTGATGTGGGCTTCCTGTTGTTTTCCTGCTACTGTGCCACACTGGAGCTCGCTCCACTGATTCACTCAGACTGACTGGTTCTGTGCCTTTGGGGACATTGGACACAAAAACAAGGCAAACCTCTCGCAGAAATGGATGATATTACTGCTACAAAATATTAGCCACCCATCTGTTCACTCATCTATCTTCTCTAAAATGTTTCCATCATTTAAACATACTGTGACTTTCCTTATAACCACAATATTCTGCAATATATTCGTCTTCACCCTCTGCCTTTAGCAATCTCTTTTACTTCCTTCCCAAAATCGGCTGATATGAAATGCTGCTTTAACCTACTGCAGCCCACAGAGCCCTCAGTGGGAGGATCATCAAATATTCGAACCCACACAATAGATCACAAAGTTGCTGAATATTTAAAGCTGAATAAAGAAAATGTTTTTAAAGTTATGCACACAACTTTGTTCTGTTGTTTCTCCAAACAAAATTCATCATAACTCACAAACAGTAGTTACAGAGTAAAAACTGCCTCATCAGTTTGGAGTTTTTTCTCATTACGAACAAAAGTCACATTTAACAAGATCACAGATTTTGGCAAAAGCATAATTTTGACAAAGAAGCTAATAAACAAATCAATGTCCTAATCCACATGCTGTAGCTATTCAACATATTATGGTTGTGCTCCAGTAAACATGGCTTAAAGAACATGGAGTCAAAAACTAATACTTTCATAGGACATGATTCAAAACATCAGGAACGACATACGTGAACATAAATATAGTCCATGACCATGACAATTAACAGGATGTAACTGAGTGGATTTGTGAAATAACAAATCTTCAACTCAGGCCATAAAATCAATTCTACCATCTATAAATCTGAAGCAGGACTTGTGAAGAGCCTCATTGTGCTGGTCCATTTCACCCATGATGACGAGCTGCAGTCACATGATGCTCTGCTCTAATTGGAGATAATGCTGCCTCCTCAGAGACAGCTCCCATGATATTTCACAAGCTGTTTGTCTACTTTTGCAGCTCAAATTAGACTCCCCAGACACTGTTGCCCTGGTTGTACTCTTCTTTAAACTTTTCATCTGTACTCAAGAACTCTGAAAATAGCTTTTGGCAAATTAGATAAGGAGGATCAACTCAGAAAACCATACTAAAGTTAGTGTCCGGAATTGTAGCGTATACTGTGCATCATTTATAAAAGAATGAATGTTAAGAACACAAATGAGTCTTTGTTGCTTTTGTTTCTAGTGTAGGGCCTGAACTAGAAACATAACGTATGTCTTTATTTGTATATTGAATGCTGTGAATTATGATCTCTTTCTAAATATATTAAAATAATGTAAGCATCATTTCAATACGTTGGTCTTGATAAAGGACACAAAGGTCTGAGATTAAGGTCGCTGCTGCAAAAATATTGACGTCATATGTGTGTAATGTCTGTGGAAAACCTCAAGGCTTTGACTCTTCGAAACTGAATCACTGTATAAAGATTATATATAAACCAATGTTCTAGCTCTGACTGCAGCCTGAATTAATGGCTGACTTACTTGAACTGTATAACACATAACATCTGATCAGCTCCACAACAGTCACGGCCTAATTATGTATAACACATTAGGAAAGGTCTGGCATGCTATAAAGCATTGTGTCAATGGATGTTTAGCTCTGCTAGGCTATCTTGTGTAAACATGGAGGCCAAGCTCTTGATTTTTCCTTCAATCTACATTTGAATACAAACCTATGGTTAAAAAAAGTGATGGGTATTTCGGGTATTGTCCTTAAGAAAATAAATTAGGGTAAAATGGTTGTGTTCTGGATTGGAACACCAGGGGATCCATGGGGATGTCTGAACGAATGTGGCGGTGGTGGCGAAGTCGATAGAGACTTGGCTTGGCAACTGGAAGGTCACCAGTTCAAGTCCCGGCAAGACCAAGTGCTACCGAGGTGTCCCTGAGCAAGGCACCGTTCCCTACACTGCTCCCCGGGCGCCGTTCAAAATGGCAGCACACTGCTCCTAACACAGGATGGGTCAAATGCAGAGAAACAATTTCCCCACGGGGATTAATAAAGTATATCAAATCAAAAATCAAACACGACCTTGCTGCTTCTGCAACCCTGCTTCTGCAACCCTGCCCTACGCAACGTAAAATGGATAAAAACATGGATGAAGAATTCAAACACGTATACTTCTACAAATGTGAAGACCCCAAAGAGCAGTACTGAAAAAACTGGTCCTTGGTCGCACCTTGTCAACCGCTGCTCTTTTATTTAATCAGACCTTTTGCTTGTGTGTTGGTTTGGCTGGTGTCGGTTTCATTTAACATGTTTCCAACGAGGCCACTGTGATGCACTTTGAGACGAGAGTTGTGACTCAGGGATATAGATATAAACTTCACTTGTCTTGATTTTCATGGATATATACAGCTGCCATAAGGTGGTCCAGACATCTCATGTTCCCTTCTAACTCCCTCTTAACCTCACTGTGATCCTGTCTAAATGGTTCAGTTACAAATAAAACACTAGGGCATCTTACTGTTGTACTCTGCATATTAGGTGTATTTGTAGAATAAAATGCAGTTTCATAAAATAACCCATGCAGAAAAGTGGAAGTAAAGCCTTTGCTGTTATCACTTTCTGCACCTATTGTTCTTTCTTTGTCCAAGTCAAAAAAGGTCAGAGAAATTAGAATTATTGATTGTTTTATGGAGCTATTAACATTTGGAGACACCCTGTGATAAGCATGTCTTTTTATCCATCCATTACATATTAGGTTTACACAAAGTTGTTGTCTTTCTTTTTCTTGACTTCTCTGAACCCAATTTCCTTCCCTGTCTTACATACATAAATCCATGACTGTTGGAGATATGGCTTGAGACACAATGGAGCCACCTGTCCTGTCACATACACTTGTTCCTTCTTACACTCTCTGCAGTTGACATGAGTACGGAAACACAAACACTCACAAAATCAAGCCGCTGTGTCTGACCCGAGCTATAAAAAGAACAGTCAAATTAACAAACATGTGCATCTTCAAGACACGTTATCATCATAATATTGACCACGTTGCCTACACTGTTTAAGCCTGCTTCGACAGATATATAATAGAAACAGCCTAATGGGTCATGTGCTTGTGTTTATGTGCTTGTTTAAGTGCATGTGCAACACACATGTACACACAAGCGTATTCAAATACAGCTCAAATTCATTAATGATTCAACACAATGTCTTTCATTGCCTCAATTAAGCAAGGAAACAAAACCAGTGCTAAAAGGCAGGGAGAGTGGGAAGCAGAGTAAGAGAGTGAATAGATGGAGGAGACAAAGTGAATAAGACAAGCAAAAGGGAGGAGGGGAGTCAATGAATGGCAACAACACAGAAACGAGATGAGTAAATGGAAAAGGGCAGAGAGAAGGCAACGAAAACGGAGAGGAGAACTTGGAAAACGTCCATCTTGTCTGTCTTATGTCGATACAAAATGAACACCATTACTAGTCGCACAATGACCTAATGACCACCTCTACCAAACAGACACAACACATTCGTATGCCCAGAATAATACATAAATTGTGTATCCAAAAATAGTCTTAGAGGTGTTTTGTCAGTCTTGGTGGTCAAGGGTCAAACAGAAAAAGCCTGGATTCAGTTCACTGTGAAGATGTGATGTAATGCTTTGTTGGACAGCGAAGGCGATTGTTAGCTAGTGTTTGAAGAGAGAAAACTACTGTGCATCGTGTTAGAGCCTATAGCAGTTATTCGTTTGAAAGGCAATGAGGCAGCCATTATGGCAACTTACAATTTTCCACAACAAAATCAACAAGCCCCAATGAATTTTACTTTTTCACATTTTATCCAATTGCATCCAGCAGGTTAACATGTGTGGTTCAAGGTTTACAAAGTGAACAAGAGAATAGGCCTAAAGTCTCTTAAGCTGTATATTAATACAAACAATACCTATAGATTATCAATATATAATTGTAGCTCTGCTCTGCATTTGGAGTCTTAAAATATGAAGAATATTGAAGTCAAAAGTTACCTTATTTATCTCATTCTGTGACTTAATTATCTGCACAACTACATTAATGTAGTTGATCCTGCAGGAGTTTTTAAATAGAATTTGTATAAATAAAAAAAGGTAAACCTTCCAATGACACTTACCAAATGACCCATTCATGACTCATATTTGATGTATCTGTGTCATCTGAGTGGTAGAAAAAATAAATAAACGTATCTCTCTGAAATAATGAAGACTGACAAAAGTGACCAAAAATGA